GCAAGATCTTGCCATCTGAATATCGCTCTTGCATGATTAAGTGCAGACATTTAAATGAAGACACCAGCTTTAAGCTCCCGTCTCTCTATTCCTTATTATAAAAATCAGTATCAGTATTCACATATGAATAGTAGCTCATGTTCGATGATCAAGTGACTCTTCCAAATTAAAGTTGCACAATAAAAGGAAAAACTCAGAAGGGAGAAGAAAGTTTTACCTGAAAAATGGACTATAAGAAATACCAGTCAATGGGTAACTCTCTCTAAGCAGCATGCTCTCAAGCTGCATCTCTGCTTAACTCTGAATAACACGCTGAAGGGAGGAATTCCTTTCTCTTTTTGAAATCACAGAAAAGAATGGAAAGAAATCCTTGGCCGTTGGCTTGATACAAAGCCTTACCAAATCAAATGTGAGTTTTCCCCTGGGGTCAGTTTTTGTCTTTCCACTCGCTGTGACTGATTTGCAATAGCACGTACACATGCACGCACACACACACATACACATAAAAAATGGGAGGCGCAGGGCGAGCAGAGGGCTACCCCACCGGCACGACTGGAGCTTGGGGGAACGGGAGCAGATCAGCGGGCAGCTAGAGCAAATGTATTCATTTACACTTGTTTACTCTAAATAGATCCAAATTAATTTGTGAAACATGCCCTTTGGGCCTGGTAGGCTGTTGAAAGCAAAAGACCATTTGTTTTTCCTCGTGACACTTACACTAGGTGCTAGGCTCACATCTGCCAGGCTCCTCTTCTCATGGAGGGCTCCCGTCCTCCGTACCTCCATCCCTGCAAGGGTGCCACAGCTACATGTTCTCAAAGACCTTTTTGTAACTCCGTGCTATGGCAATGCAATCCTGTCATGTAACCATACAGGCACTGCCAGCGTATCTCATTGTTCTTTTGAAAAACTGAGTCTGACAATGACATCATTTTGTCTCAAAATTATTTTTCTTGTTTTTATAACAAGCACCACAAGCGCTATCCTGCTTCCCTAATGAAGCACAGTTGATTTTTGCCTAAAAGATGGTATAGATAGGATAACGCAATTTCTTAATACCATTCCAGTCAGATAATACGGCAACCAGAAAATACTCACATTCTAATTTTGAAACTGTTATCATGACTCAACAAAAGAATAACTACAGAATAGGGAAGGTGAATTCACACAACTGCTTTGCAAGCTGCAAACTACTTCCATTACACTCAGAGATTTAGGAAACAGAGATTCTGGACATCCCTCAGTGAAGCAGGTGAGTATTTCCCTCCATCTGCCCTTTCTTCCTTATCTTAGACATGCTAGGCGGTTTGATTTCCAATAGCATTAAATCAAAGGCTTTGGTATGAACACATTGGACTCTGCTTCCAATAAGCAGCAGTAACTAATAGTAAAGTACACATAATAAGGAAAACAATAAATATCAAATTGGTAAAACAGAGAAAAACACAGTGCAACAAAGAGAGGGATTTAGAAAATTCTATAGGTGTAACTTGATTAAAAAGAATACAGGATTTTAAAATATGCAATTGTGTAAAAAAGAAACCACAAGAGAAATTTTTCCAAAATATCTCATAGTTTACCATAAAACAGTTGCTTGAACATTGAAGCAACTATTGCTTCTTCTGCTGACAAGCAAACAAAATGCATATTTGACCGTACCTGTGGGAGTTCTGCAACTTTGTAGGACTGCTGGCGTTAATTCTGAAAGCGTCCCCATAAACCAGCAGGTGCAGTCTATCACAAGAAGCCTATTGCGTTTGAGGGAAAAAAGTAATGGGATAAAAGGAGTAAGACAAATTTGAAGAAAATAATTAAAGCAATTAATTCAAGAGAATTGGGATTTGTATCTTACAAGCAGTTCAGCTCTGACAAGTTGCTCCCCAGAAGGGATTCTTCACTGTCCCGTCAGCAGACCTATTAGCAGTTCTGTCCAAATCGTCAGCTAAATTAGTGATGGACTATTACAAGAAGCCAAGAACTAAGAGGGAGAAGTAAAGGAAAAAAGTGAAAAGGGAGAGAGAGAGAGATAGGGGAACCCTCCCCTCCTGGCAAACCCCGCTCCTGCCTGCAGCCCCGAGCAGTGGAGATGCTGGGCAAGGTGAATGCAGCATTTATCCATCACCAAGAGGGGTGGCCCCTGGGGACCAACAGCACGGGATTTGTGGTGGCTCAGACTTTTCTTTAAGGAATTCTTTATATGTGAAAAGTTGTGACAATTTAATGATATTATGTTAATCTGCCCAGGAAAATGCATGGAAAAGCCTGGATGCAGATTTATTTACATCCATTCATACCATCCTAAATTTCATTTATGATTTAGGTTAAAAAGTCCTCTGAATGTATGTGATGATTTGAACTAATCTGTATACATTCTTTGGAGTTAATTGACTTAAGCCAGAGCAACATTTCTGATACAAAATAGGCCAAAATCAAGTAAAACTTAGAATCAGGCTAATGCAGGCCGGGAGGGAGCACAGTAGGTCTCTGGTGGAACCTCCTGCTGACAGCAGGCTCAGCTCTGAGGTCAGACCAGGCCACTCAGGGCTTCATCCAGTCGGGACTTGAAAACCTCCAAGGACGGAGACTGCACCACCTCTGTGGACAACCCGTGCCTCTGCCCGACTGTCCTCATGGGGGAAAAAGTGTCTCCTTACATCCCGGCTGAAACTCTCGTGTTTCAGCTTCTGTGCATTGTCTCTATCTTCTCACCCAGCCCCACTTCAGAGAGCCTGGCTCTGTCTCCTCGATGACCTCCCCGCAGGCACTGGGAGCTGCTGGTAGGTCCCCCTGAAGCTGTCTCTGCTCCAGGCTGGACAAGCCCAGCTTCCCCAGCCTCTCCTCGCAGGACCTGTGCTCCAGCCTCGCCATCTCGGGGGCCTCCGCTACCATTTGTCCCATGTCTTTCTTGTACTGGGAGCCCCAGGCTGGGCGCAGGATTCAGACACAGCCTAACGATGGATGAGTAAAGGGGATTAACTGTGAACAGGGCCCTGGGATGAGGACTGCCCGTCTCATTCCTTTAGCTACCTTTTCCTAATGCTTTCCAGTTGTTGTTGCATTTACCAACTAATAATTTTGTGTGCTTCAAATCCTAAGCGAATGTCAGCTAAAATACATTTTTTGTCAAGCATCTCTCCCCCCAGCTTGTAGCTGTGACCCTGGGTGGGAACTGATGCTCCCAGGCCAGCTTTCCTGTACGCCAGACCCTGCGGCGGAGCTGCTCGCCGCACAGCAGTGCTCTGGCACTCTCCAGAGTGCTTTTCCCCCCACGGAAAGCCATTCCCTCACAGCAGGGCCCCACGTCTGTGGCAACGGATCACCAACACACGAACTATAGGAGAGTGCACATTATTTCTTGTCTCTTTACTCCCACTGACTTCCACAAATTATTCTACCAGGGCACTGGTTTCTAAAGACGTATTATGTAGTGCTACCACTACAGTATCACACTGGAGCACAGAAGTTAATACCTTTTTCATTAAAATATTTTATTCATAAGCAAATAATAAAGATAGAGTCAAATATTTGATGACATGATCGAGTTTTAAAATATCTCAGAAGCAATGCAAACTAATTAGCTATGACAATGTCATATGCTCATAGAAAAACAGGTCTAATCTTGACAGTAATTGGAACCTTCTATGGCCTTGTCTGAAATACAAAAACATACATAAAATGAGGAATTCAGCCCCATAATTAGTATACTATTGCTTAATAAGGCATCAGGAATGAGGATTGACCTCCCCAACTTCAGATGTCTAAATGCAGGTTAAGCCAGTTGCTATGGCAATAAAAAACAATAGAAGAAACCTGACAATTTTAAGTCTATGTTGGGATAAAATAAATTGAGCTTACAATTTTTCCCTTCTCTCCACCAATTATAAAGGAGCACAGGACAACCTCAGCATTATGCCTCCCACCCCATGTTTCACATCCAGAGATGTGTTCTTGGCACACCACTTATATCAAGCGATACACTTCATCTTAGGTCTCTTTTACTGTGACCTAAGCAGAAATAAGTGGTATTGGTATGTTCACGCAGACATTTCTGCTGTTCAGCTCAAAATGGCAACTAATTAAGTTTCAGTAACTTGTTTGTGTGCTGCACCCTCTGTAAAAAACAAGATTTGAAATGCCCCTGAGCTAAGCATTAGCAAAATGACAGCTTAACACTTCTGCATCTGTGCTGTGACTGAAGCTACATGACCAGTTAGCACAAATTCAGAAATGCTTAACTCAAGCAGTGTGGGTACGATGCACTGTTTCAAGTTATTCTTACTATCTGCATAACAACACTGCCCCGAGGTTCCAGCTAAGATCAAAGTCCAACTATATTACAGGGTACATACATTAATAATAACACTTTGTCTGCTGTGGACCAAAACACGCCACGGCAGTAGCTGAGGATATTACTATTTCCAGGTGTAGACTGTGTCTTTGTATGTGGAGGAGATGTTGTGTCTCCTGTAGGAAGGGCAGCAGTAAAGCATAAATGCTACATCTAAGCCACTGCATCTTTCCCTCTGTGGGGGAGCAAAATAGCAGATCCCTTCAGCTACAGCTGTTAAATTCAGTACAGCCGAGTCCTAAAGAAGCACTCCTTGCTTCAGATAGACATGGCAACAGAGAGGTGAACTGGCTTCTCAAGATCACTCAGTCAGTCATGGAATAGTCTGGGAGAAAGTCCAGGCCAATCCACTACACCATACTGTCTCCCAGACTAAGTATTAAATCAAAATCTTATTTCTCATAGACAGGTCTTAAAATGGGGCAAATATTTATGCAGCAATGCCAATGGCCAGCATCAAACATCTGTCTTAAGCCAGAGGCAAAGCCATGGGGTATCAAGTGCGTGGTCTTAAAGACCGAGTAGGTCTCTGGTAAGTCTTACAGAACCAGAAGTAGGGGATGAGGGGGAAAGTCTGCTCTATTTACTCACATTTAGATCATCATACAGGTACAGAAGTGCCAAAGTGAGGGAAAGGAGTAGTATTTCTCTCCCCTACATTGTGGAACAGTTACAGAGCTAAGTTGAAGTGATCCTTAATGCTGCTGAGGTCTCAGCTCACCAGCCACTCAATCTACTCTTCGCTCAACACAACCTTCTCCTATCTACAGTCAGTGCTTTACAAATTAACCTTGCTGTCACAGTGATAGGTGGGTGAGGGCTTATTTTCTCCAGTGACAAGCAGCTGATGTTTGCTTATTTTGGATCCCTGCATAAGCAAATATTGTTCAAGTGCTGAATTCCTAAGTAAGCTGAAAAATGCATTATTTAAAACATGATTGTGTTCCAGCATTGCACAATATTAATATTGCTAAAGCTACTTAATGCTTGCACATCTAATGCATATATATAATAATTTGATAAATTTTAACTGAACTTTTTAATAACTGTTTCCAGTTATTCATGAATTACGTCACAGCAAATTTGGACCAAATGTTTCATTGGTCTCTACATTTGTGCTTATCATTGGTTGCACATTCAGTCTCCTCTTCTGCATGACCAAAAATTTCCACTTTTTATGAAGATCTGCTCTTCATTTGGTTTCTCCTGTTAGACAAGGTGCACTCCAGTCAGATTTCATTTGTTTTTTCAGTTTGGAAAGACCAGTGAGACATTCATCTCTCCATTTTCTCCTGGCATCGAGGACTTTTGGAACAACTGGAATTTTTTCAGACATTGCCTGGAACAGAAAATTTGAGATGATTACATCTCATGTTCTGAGTAAAAAGTTTCTCACCAGCATTGTTTTCCTGCTTTCCCTATGTTAGACCAAGTAACCATCCACACAAACTGTCATTTAGTATATCACAAGCAATAGGCCACTAATTCTTTACGTGGGTGACTGGAAATGAGCTAACCTGTACGGGAAGAAAAATGCTCCCACTTGGAGAAGGTTGGCCTGAATGTGGCAATGCAGGTGCCTCCAGAAACATCAAAGCATCAGCCTTTTCTCTCGGTTTGCCCCATGCAGCCACTGTCTAGTGTCTTTGATAATAACCTTTTATTAAAGAGGAAGAAGGCAACTTGGCCATTTATGTGGCTAAAAATGTGCTCTAAACCAAATTCCTGTGCGTGTGTGTTTAAAGCTGTGATCTCTCTTCTGACTCCTCATAAATGTAATGAGGGATACCATGTTTATTAAAAACATTTTGTCTTAGGAGTGCCAGTTATAATTGAAATGACAGGGGAAGACACATAACAAACCCAGAATTATTTTTGTTGCTTATTGGAATATGGGGGAAAGTACAGCACTATTTGAGAACACAAAGGTAGAAGTCTGAACAAGTTAGCACACAAAAATGATATTTAAAACAAAATGGAAAAAAAAAGTATTTCTGAGTGCATAATCAAAGTTGTCTTAGAAGTGCCAGTTAAATGTTCTCTCTGCCTCAGGAGAACAAGAGGTAGTAAGCTCTGGCCAGCTAGTACACTGTAACAGATTTTCTTTCAAAGAAAAAAAGCTGTTTTGAGAGTGCAGGTAGAGATCACGAGGCCATCTTTGCCAAAATAGCACCTGAGGTCTTAGGTTTAAAGGCACGTGTTGAGAAACTGGGTAAAACCTGGAGCTGCTACCAATGACTGGCAAGTTGCAGTCACTCCAGAAAAAAGTCAGGGGGAGGGACAGAGGAGTAAGATAAGAAATGTTTAATGTTTTACTCTTAAGAGGATTCTTGCAAACCCCTCTTTGGCATTGAAGACCAAAGATAATAAAGAGACACAGAAACAGATGTTGAAGTGGAATCCAGCTTTCCATAAAGAAACCCAAACTGTTTCATACGAATCAAAAGCTTCTAACTGTGAATAACTCCATAATTATTATTGATTGTTATTATAAGCAGTCTATGTTGTTTAAGCATAAAAGAACCTCTTTCCTTTTTAACATAGCTGATGTTGAAATTGTATAAATAGGAACAACAACAAAAAAGGAACAAAAATGCAGTCTTCCAGACAGAGAGATTCCATATATGGAACCAATCTGACAGCTAATCAAGAACGATTCAACACATACACGTGTTCTTTAGCAAAGCATTAAAAAGGCAACTATGAAAAGGCAGAGTTAGGGAATGACGATACTTCAGTTAATTCCTATGATCATACAAAACAGCCTATATAGTGAGTATAAACAAATTCTGGGCTTAGAAATGTTCATAGACAAACTGGGTCCCAATCCAGCATAGCACTTAAACACATCTTATCTTTAAACATGCAAGTAACCCTACCGGACTGCTCATATGCTTAACTTAAACGTGTATTTGCACACATTACAGACTGGAGCTCCAGTTTGTAACGTATACAAAAGCAAGAAAAAGAACACCTAGAAGAAAAAAGCTACAGGGTTTATGCAGGAAGATGGAGTAGGAGGAAAATACGGGGAGAAGTCATGTAGGAAAGGAAGCTTGGAGCTGTGCATATTATGGTAGAGAATACAGGACAGAAATGGTAAGAAATAGCATGGAGGATTTAGTGTCAGTAACCCATAGTTGTTAGCAGTTGACTCCTCTGTCTAGTAATGGTGTTGCTCAGCTGCTAAATCACTTTCCCTTGATGTATGTCAAAGTGATTTGAAAAGGGACTTACATGCATTCTGTACTGATGTTTTTGTTCAAAGTACACCTTCACACAAGAAATACAGACTACAGACACCTCTAACATTAAACTGAAACGGTACAAATGTTAAAATAAAAGCTAATATTCTTTGTTCTGAATGTCATTGCATTTATCACCTCCATATTTACCTGATTGATTTTCTGCTCAATTTCACCGGAAAATTCTGGAACTGGTCCAAAGGTGTTCAGAACACGTCTCATACCATCACGGTATCTTTCGCAATAATTTGAAATACCTAAAAATAAGAGTGAAAAATTGCATTTCAACAGGAATTCCTACTTCAGTTCAGTAAGACTGCCTGTGCTTAAGCACTGTCTTAAATCGGAGTCCAAAAAAAGGTGTGCTCTTATGCTTAAGACACCTAATTGTCATCAAGAAAAAACAGATTCTATCCACCACATTTCCATTAAGGTTCATGGAAAAATCATGTAGGATATGCCTTCATTGCCAAACCAGTTAATGTTACATACCAACAGGCAATGCTATGTGAGGGGTGCAGTACACAACCATGGATGTACTCGTGCTTTGTTACCCGAGACCAGAAAGTTTCCCCGACCAGTGCCCACAAGGAGAGTGCTCTCACCTCTCCTCTCCTCTCCTCCTGTTTGGTATGTGTCATATCAGTTGAAGCATTCCCGTTGTTATTTATTGACCTGGAGTGTATCAAGAGCAACATGGCTCAGGGGGAAAGGGTCACAGGCATGGAGACCCCGGTGGCCTCCAGTGAATGAGGACCAGATGGATCTTGCAGATCAATACCTTGTATTGCAACTGGGATTAACAACAAGGATTTGGCTTTTATGACCACAGGACCTTATTTGACAGCTGAGCACTGATGGGGGAGATGGGATCCGCCTGACAAAGTAGAGAAAAAGCATCCTTGCCAAAAACCCAGCCAATCTGGTGAGAAAAGCTTTATATTAGGAACACTGGAAAAGTGAGATTACAACCTGTAGTCAAGTGAGGAAGGGGTGTACGGGAGTGGAAAGAAAAGAGTGCAGGGTAACAGGTACAAGAGAAACCTCAAGAAAGTATAAAAAAAGGCAGAAGGAGTCCACCTCTAGTGTATGTGCACAAATGCGTGCAGCCTGGGGAACAAGCAGGGGAAATAAGAGCTCCATGTGTGGTCACACAACTACAACATTGTTGGAGCAACTCAGGTGTGGTGGGATGGCTCACACAACTGGAGCGCTGCAGCAGACAGATACACGCTTCAGGAAAGACAAGCAGGAAGACAAGGAGGGGGTGTGCTATCTCTGTAAAGGAGCAGCTCAGATGTATGGAGCTATTCTATGGGATGGGTGACTGGCTTGGGTAAGAGCCTGTGGGTCAGTATCAGTGGAGAGGCCAGTAAAGGTCAGCATCCTCCAAGGGCAAGAACAGTCCATCTTGATATTCATGAAGACAAGTGAACATATCAAGAGATTGTTCTGGATGAGCTCCAGTGCAAAAAGGCAGCATACAGGAGGAGGAAGCAGGGACAGGCTGTAAATGAGAAATTTAAAAACACTGCCTAGGCATGTAGGGATGGTGTCAGCAAAGCCAAAATTCAGGCTCAGTTGAGACTTGCACGGATGTCAAGGGCAAGAAGGACTTCTACTGTTACATTAGTAAGAGAGGGCTGAACAAGGGAAGTGTGGGCCTGTTGCTGAATGGCTCGGTGATTTAGTGACAGGAGAAACAGGTAAAGCAGAGTTACTCATTGCTTTCTTTGCTTCAGTCTTCATTGACAAGGTGTCCTACACCTTCTATGCTTAGAGGCAGGGTTCAAGGAGGAGAAGAGTTATCAGCAGTAGATGACAATCCAGTCAGTGACTATCTGCAAGAACTCAGATGAGTTCATCACCCACCTGAGACCATGGGATAAGACAGACTGTATCCAAGGATACGAGAGAAATGTCCCATGCCCTTGCAAGGCCGCTTTTTATCGTATTTTAAAAATCATACTAGTCAATGCATCAATGTCATCATTTGAGATTCCCAGATGACTGAAGGCAAATACTGCACCCATCTTCAGAAAAGGTCAAAAGAACAATCCAAGGTACTACAGGCCAATCAATCTCACTTCTGTCCCTGCAAAAATCAAAGAGCAAGTCCTCTTGAAACAAATTCCTGGGCACAGGAATAAGAAGAAAGTGATTGTGACAGTCAGCATGTAGTCACCAATGGGTACACCATGGTGTAAATCATGTTTGATTGACCTTGTTCCCATCTGTGATAAAATCATTGGATTTGTAGAAAATAGGAAAGTAGTGGATATCATTTACTTCAACTTCAGAAGGGCATTTGACACTGTCTCCCATGGTATTCTTGTATCAAAGTTAGGACATTAAGGTCTGCATGCTTAGACAACTAGATGGACAAAAAATGGGTTGGATACTCAGGCTAAGAGGTAATGGTTAATGGGTTGTACTCTACCTGGAGGTCAGTAAAAGTGGAGTATTACAGAAATCTATCCTGAGACCTGTACTGCTTAACAGCACTTGCTCATGAAGTTTGTGAATGATAGCAAATTGGGTGGGGGTGGGAGGGAGATGGACCAGCTGATACATTGGAGGGCACGGCTGCCCTTAGACAGGCTGCAGGAATGAGCCAATACAAAACCTTAAAAAATTTAACAAGGACAAATGCAAGGTCCTGCACCTCAGAAGGAAGAGCTCCTTGCAACAACACAGGCTTGTGAACCCCAAGAACTCCTGGTCCTGGTAGGCAGCAAGCTGAATGTGAACCAACAGTGTGCCCTGGTTATAAACATTGACCTACAATTGCTCATGCTGTGCTTCCTGAACTCTTACAGACAGTCTCACTCCCTCAAGATGTGAAACCGTACCAATATACAGATGCTATCCTAATCGGAGGGACCTCCCCTGAAAAGGTGGGGGAAGCGGCAGCAGCAGTGTGGCAAACACTACATACAGCAGAAGTTGAAATTCCACCCAAAAAATGTCAGGAACTGAGTAGACAAGTAAAATGTTTAGGTACTTGGTGAATTGCAGGTAGTGCAGCAATCCCACCAGACACCCTAAGTAAAATAGAACAATTGCAGATGCCCCAACCTAGGAAAGAATTACAACTTATGGGTACTTTAAGATACTGGAGAAAACATGTACCTGGGTTTTCTATTATTGCTCGCCCACTGTATTCACTTTTACGAAAGGGAAAACCATGGGAGTAGAACCCAGAGCATGAAGCAGCAGTCAAAACTCTAATACGGAAATGAAAGACATATCAGTCACTGGGACCAGTACACCCCCGTGACCCTATTACAGCCGACTGGGGTTTTGGAGAACATGGTACTTATTGCAATATATTCCAGACTGGGCTGAGCAGGCCAAAAAGATCTTTAATGTTTAGCTGGACTGCATTTAAAGAGACAGAACAGAGATATTCCAAATGGGAAAAAAGGACTTTTTCTTTAGTCCGAGCAGTGAAACAAGTTGAGCCACTAAGGGGTAACCCATCCGGAAAAACCCTGCTGAGACTTGTATTGTTTTCCCTTTCCAGGAACGATACCGGGAATGATGCCAGCATACCTCCCCCTGGAAATCAAGTTATCCATTGAAGGATTGCTTATCCTTCTTGCAGGAGCAATCTTTGTCAGCATGGACCAAATTTGCCTTATACACCAACAAGCCCAATGCATGGGGTGAAGACCCTCACTTCCTTTATTTATGCTAATCAATACGGTAACTATAGTACATTCTGCACCATACATGTTTCTCAGTTGTGGGTGCAATCTACTGTAACAGCAATTATAAGGGAAGGTGATGAGGGCACCTTGCCCACTGAAATTAGAGAAGTAATTTGGGATAATGCGACTCAATTTGAAAGGGAATTCCAGTCCTGGTGGCATCTCGTCAATTTTACCTATAACCTTACTGATAGTAAAGCCACAACTTTTGTTTTGACAATACGCGATGCTTTGGTATACACCATATACCCAACCATTGCATTGGGATTAAATCACAATGGAACTGTCCTCTATCCGTTAGAACACAGAGTATGGGCCCAACAAAACAGGAACAAATGGCAAACTGTTGATGTTGATGCATGTGTAGTACGAGAACAACAGGGATTTATTTGTGAAAGTAATACCATTAAGGCCCAAGACATTCGTCTTGACACTGAACAAAATGTTTGTCATTTTGAAATACATCCTGATGACACCCCTGAAACTGTACTCGTATACGTTGGAAATGGATGTGTTTGTATGAGAACCCTTTGTGATTCTATATTTATAGGCAATACCACTGTAGATATATACAATCACTCAAATATCTGTATTTGTAATTTCACCAAAATCATAGGACGCGTCTTTTAACTATTCAGCTCCTGTCACAACTCACCAATTGTTACAATCTAACTATACATTGTATCAAGATTTATTGCCTACTCCCATTGGAATGAATCTCACCTTGGTGAGAAAACTGTTGCAACGTGATGACCTGAGTCAATTGCTAAAACGAATTTGGATCAACGGACAAAGAACCCTGATTACTGTCCATCATGATGCAGAGAAGATACACCATGTCCTAAATGATTCTATGATTCTATGTCCCAGAAAGAGTGAAGAAAGACGGAGAACATCCCTGGTGGGAAACTCTTTTTGGACAGTCCCTAACAGCAACTGGAATTTTGAATTTGATACTGCATCCAATTGTAGTTCTGTTGATTTTGACCTCATTGTGTTTATTGCTTATAATCATTATGTATATAAGTTTGGCAAAAAATGAAACAAATTACATCAATCTAGCATGTAAAATGTATACAATCAACTGATTCTGTATTTAAGCTGGTATATAACTAACATTAATTAGAACACTTTAACTGGACTCTAACCGCTGATCTACAACATGCCACATATTTATAACATAGAGGCAAGAGGTAACTAACTGTACTACCACTCTATGAGTCATAGTGGATTGACTGTAGTCACAGGGTGGAACGTGGCGGATGCACTCGACCCTTTGACCAGACTGGCGGTGGTTTGGTGCAGGCTCCAGAAGATGTAAAGGCCTGAGCCACAGCTGGGCCATGAACTCCTCTAGTTTCAATCCGTTCTCTGAAAACCCACAAAGGAGCAGAGTGACACAGTGAGCGTCGATGTGTATGAGCTTGGAACACTGATCATATGGTTGACACATGAATAACAAGTGGCTTTTCCAAGACTCAAGGAAACAAAGGAACAAAGAAAGTTGTGGGTACGAGGAGTCTCCTGCATACCTTTTCTATCAC